TAAAACAGTACCACTATTACAGGTAAAGCCAATGCACCGCTCGAATAGGCCCTCTCATTCAGTCCATACATTACAACACCGTTTCTATCACTCAATTCAATACAATTGAGTGAATGAGAAAAACTTATATAATTTTTAAATAGTTTGACCCGAAAAATGTTTGGAGTGTTTTAGTGAAGTAACATATCTTATATAACATTGTATATAAGGGACGACTCGTTTGTTGAGCCATCGCCAGTGCCTTAACAGTGCCCTTAGACCTTATTTTTTATATTATTACAGGCATTGCTTCCTATGTAATGAAAATTCAATTAATATTTCTTTTTTGAAAGGATTTACTCCCAAATCATGAAAAAATTATTGAAGAAAGAAAAGAGAGAGAGAGAATAAAAAGAGGAGCGTATGAAAGGTTGTGCCATAAGAAGAATGAGAGAGAGAGAGAGAGAGAGAGAGAGAGAGAGACTGTACNGAGAGAGAGAGAGAGAGAGAGAGAGAGAGAGAGAGAGAGAGAGAGAGAGAGAGAGAGAGAGAAGGCTGTACTCTATGTATGAAAGATAGCCAAAGATGAGGGGGAGAGCCATAGAGGGAGAGATTTGTGATTAATTTTTTGTTTTAATATATTATATAATAACACTGAAGATTGAATGTATGGACCGATAAATAAAAAGGCACAACAATTTGCGTTATGTGTTGTGCGCTATTCAGGTATGCATTTTTCAATAGCATTATGTAATACCTTATGTAATACTTTAATGGCTAACAACACATAACGTGACGACCCCTTTGGCACAGATCGGTGGGCAATGTTTGGTCCCACCAATGCTTACATCATATTTACACAAATTGTATTTCAAACACATTTATAAAGAGCTTTCAATGAAATGTTGAGTGAATATCGCAAAGAATCGGCAGAAAAATGTACACAAAAAGGAGGCAAAGTTTGTGTTGACCTGAAAGACAAGCCATACCTGTGCTGAGGGATAGGGGGAGAGACAGAGCCCGACGACTCGGTTTTGATGAGAAGACAGCAAATAAGTTGAGAGAGAGAGAGAGAGAGAGAGAGAGAAGGCTGTACTCTATGTATGAAAGATAGCCAAAGATGAGGGGGAGAGCCATAGAGGGAGAGATTTGTGATTAATTTTTTGTTTTAATATATTATATAATACACTGAAGATTGAATGTATGGACCGATAAATAAAAAGGCACAACAATTTGCGTTATGTGTTGTGCGCTATTCAGGTATGCATTTTTCAATAGCATTATGTAATACTCTAATGGCTAACAACACATAACGTGACGACCCCTTTGGCACAGATCGGTGCGCAATGTTTGGTCCCACCAATGCTTACATCATATTTACACAAATTGTATTTCAAACATACTTTTCAAACACATTTATAAAGAGCTTTCAATGAAATGTTGAGTGAATATCGCAAAGAATCGGTAGAAAAATGTACACAAAAAGGAGGCAAAGTTTGTGTTGACCTGAAAGACAAGCCATACCTGTGCTGAGGGATAGGGGGAGAGACAGAGCCCGACGACTCGGTTTTGATGAGAAGACAGCAAATAAGTCTGAATAAAGCTTCACATAAGTTAAGCACTGATGGTATTTAATATTTGTAACAAACCGTACCCCAGAGAAAGGCTCTCTCTGTCTCTCTCTCCCCGACTCTCTCGTCGACCACATTCTCGTACGGAATGGTGAGAACCAGTCGGTTGTCTCTCTCATACCATCTCTTCGCTGGCAATGCATTACTTCATTGACACGACTTGTTTAGCGGCTTTGTTGTCAATGTATTGGTGCAGCACTAGTAGGACTCTCTCTCTCTCTCTCTCTCTCTCTCTCTCTCTCCCTTATTATATAATATATTAAAACAAAAAATTAATCACAAATCTCTCCCTCTATGGCTCTCCCCCTCATCTTTGGCTATCTTTCATACATAGAGTACAGCCTTCTCTCTCTCTCTCTCTCTCTCTCTCTCTACGAATATTACTTACCATTAGTTACCGGTTGACGTTTGGCGTTTGGCTTTCACTTTGTGGTACTTGTCTTATCAATCATACAAATGACTTCTCCGACCGAACCATACAATACGAACAGTGAGTTTTGTCTCCCAATCGGCCGAACCATTCAAGTCATCGCAAACACACGAAACACAATACAAAAATCACAATACAATTGCAATACAACAGAGAGTGTCTCAGAGCCTAAACAGTGATACCCCTAACCGTCTCTTCATTCATATCGTGTGCAACAAATGCCGCCGAGAAGTGACTGAACGAGAGGTCGGTGTTGGCATGTGATACACACTCTGCACACCACTTATATTATCCGATATTATTATTGCTAAATAAAAGGCCTCTCTTTTGTTATTGAATTTTTATTGATAGCAATAAATAAATTTTTGCCCGATTTCTACACAAAACACACACAACACTATTTGTTTGGGCAGAAAAAACTCATTCTTACTGTCGATAAATATATGAGAATATAATTGGGCAGAGATTTTGCTCTCAATTAGCTTTTACACCAGAAATGTATAAATTTTCTTTTACAAGTATTGACTTCTCGTGTTATGTGTGTAACAGTTTTTTCCTTCTTTTGCCATTCAATCTTCAGTTAATATACCTGTAGTGCGAGAGAGAGAGAGAGAGAAGAGGAATTGATTAAATTGTTTAACTGAATTAATAAAATGAATGATCATGTGAACATCCACCGACTCGATCATTATTATACCATTACAATATAGAATTTAAAACGTGGTCACCGTATATAAACTGTACTGTTTCTGTATTTAGTACGTTCGCAACTAAATCGTGTCGGTAATTATAGCTTAGATTTTTAGTCCAATTGACAGCATTATAATTGCGAAATAATGTATTTATTATCGAGAATTATATTAACCCCTTTTTTGTGAACTATATGCACATATAATTAAGTCATATGTGAAATGTCACGCCATTACTAAACACTGGGTTATATATCTATATGTACTTTATTTTTTATTTTAAAAATTGAATGATAAGGGGTTTTTCAAAACTTAGGAACATTCGCTCAATTTTTCCCCTCACTCTTACAGTTATATCTAATTATAGATTAAATTTAATTCAAATTCAAACGTAAATTTTATTAGTCTCGATGGTATTGTATCTGAACAACGATTGGTGGATAAAAAGTGTGGTTTTCAGACACTTGTATGAAAGCAATATCTAATAACTGTATAGACATAACCAGGGCTTACATTGTCTGACATTTCATTGATAGTCCCGTACAATACATTCATTATACGTATTGTGATTATTAGCCCAAATACTGAAAATTTTGAGTTAAAAATCAGTGTTAAAAATTTGCATGTAAAGCGATATTAGTGCTCAAATGCGCTAACGTGGTTACTTTGTTGAATATGCATATTAACTTTAACTGGGGATCAGATGTGCCATAACAACAATAATAACAACAACAAGAAAAGTCTGTATCAATAAAAAAAAAGCCCCCAAAGTGTTGAATGCCTGCACATCGATATAAATTATGTAAAGTGTTATATAATAGTCGAAAGGAAACAAATAAAACATAATATATTCCTCGAGTGAGAGACAGACAGAGCGAGTGAAGTGAGTGAGTGAGGGATGGAGTAATGCGTTGATGGGACAGGAGTTAGTCGTCCACCACTTTAAACACTCAACAATATTATATACCATTTGAAGTTTATCTCAATATGTTATGAATATAAAGGTAATAAAACAGAGCGATATATTTTATGAATATGAAATTTAGGTAACAATACCTAACAGTACTGTTACACACCATTGCCTGTGCCGTAACAACCAATGAGAGATAAAGTGTGTGTTTGTTGAGAGAAATCTACATTCAATAGTGTTTTCCAACAGTTAAATAATAAAAGTTTTTCACTCATATATAGATATACTTTATAGTTAGGACAACAGTGAACAAGTTTGTTTTGTGCTCACAAAATTATATCATAAATGTTGAAATGAAAAATTTACTATAACAATTTTTTGTACAATTAAATTTTCATGATCCGTTTTTTCGTCTAATTTTAACCATGTTTTTATGTGCGAAACATATATTTAGTATTGATTTCGACGATAATTTAATAAATATTTTGTTTTCGTGTTGAAAAGTTGTTAAAACATTTTGTCATAAATTGTTAAGAGTTTGTTTCTTCAACTAAAATACTTGTGTTTAATCTAATTTTGTTTTGTTTATGTCTTCATATATTTTTAAAACTTTTCTCAAAATAATCTTTTTTTTGTGAGTAAAACTAAATTCATTGACTTTTTGTGTGATTTAAATAACAAACTATTTTTAAAATAGCAAAACAATGCCTCCACTAATGATTGAACGAGAAATCAAATACATTAACGACAAACAAATCAGTGCTAATAATGTTAATAATGAACACAATATTATGAGTATTGTATGGAAAAATGTTATATTGATCGGTGCTATACACGCCGGTGCTCTCTATGGCGCTTACCTAATGATTGTATCGGCTAAATACCAGACAGTGTTTGCCTGGTATTGGTTTTGTCTCATATCAGGTACAGAATTTGATTTTAAATAATTGATTTTATTTTAAATGTCATTAAAAGGCATTTCATATAAGAATTTCTTGAATTTTGTATAAATTTATTATTCTGTTCATGAATTCATTTACGAGTCATTTAATTGCAAATAGTTTTGTAACATGTATTTAAATGTGTTTAAAGTTAGCATTAAATATATAAATAAATAACATATTTAATGTCAATTTTGATGATTACTTATAATATAAAAAACAAAACAAAAATTTATATGATATAAATACATGTATGTTTATTTTATTTTTAATACATTATGCTATTATTGCTTCAAATATCTATAATTTCATTCAAATCATTTAAATGCAGCTTCAATAAATGATTACATTTTAAAATTAGCATAATTCACTTATTAATAATTCACATTAACATGTAATTTAATACGAACAATGACAGGGATGGGGGTGACAGCGGGTGCCCACCGTCTATGGGCCCACCGGTCATACAAAGCGACTCTGCCGTTGCGGATCCTCCTGTGCTTCTTGAACACAATGGCCGTCCAAAACGATTTGTACGACTGGTGTCGCGACCATAGGGTTCACCATAAGTTCTCGGAGACGGACGCCGACCCCCACAACGCCAGCAGAGGCTTCTTCTTCTCACACATGGGTTGGCTTTTGTGCAAAAAACATCCCGAAGTGATCACTAAAGGCCAGACAGTGGACCTCAACGACCTGTTGGCCGATCCGGTCGTACGCTTTCAACGCAAACACTACCGAACACTTGTGGTCGTTGTGGCCCTTATTATACCGGCACTCATACCGTATATGTGTTGGTCGGAGACGTTATTCAATTCATTTTTCATTTGTGTTTTATTCAGATATTGTTATATACTTAACAGGTATTTATAAAATGAAAATTATATATTTTCTTCTTCATAATGATCTGTGTTTTTGTTTTGTCTGCAAAGTATGGTCTCAATTGTTATCTGACTTTATTTCACTTCTCTCTCGCTCTCTCTCTCTCTCTCTCTCATCATTTAGACTGATTTGAGTGCTAAATATAGCGCAGAAAACTTATTTCACACAAAGAATTAAAAATATAACAATAATAAAGAAAAAAATACTTAAAAATAAGAGAATTGATGATAGAAATGAGGAGAAAATAATACTTCATTTGATGTCAAACCATACCTTATAATATAGATTAACAATAATATACACGTATATTCTGTAACCATTACTCATCACTACAACAAAAAATTTGATACAACTCTAGATAAGACCCTAAATATGTTATAATAATAAAGAAAAACTTTATTTTATATTGATTTCGATTAACGACTCGTCAAATGTGTCTCAAAACAAGACAATTACCAAATTATTTATATCTCTTTCCCAACACAACAAAAATATGGATCATTTTTATTTTTGAGAAAACTCATCCACTAATCTATTTTTAATGGTTGTGTTCATTGTCTACCCCTATATCCTCTATCCCTGTCCTATCCGTATATGTAGCACATGGCTGGTCAACAGTGCGGCTCATATGTGGGGTCAAAAACCATACGATCTCACGATTAATCCCAGGTATGATCTCGTTGTTACTGTTCATTACGTGAAATAGTTTTTAGTTTTATTTAATTTTGTTTTTTTCTTTAAATAACAGGGAAAATAGTTTTGTGGCATTTCAGTCGTATGGCGAGGGCTATCATAACTATCACCATACCTTTCCCTGGTATGACCACTACATCCCGATTCCCATATTAACGTTATTAATAAAATTTAAAACAACAAAAAAAAAAGTTTTATATACTCGTAATTTAATGCAATTTTTAGTTTTATTTTAATAGCGTTTACAGACATTGAGACGTTATTTGCCTCAAGTTATTAGCCATAATTAGTTTAATAGCAGTTGTAATACAACTGTTGTATTATTAAGTTTTATTTATATTTGTAATTGTTTTCATTTTCTTATAATTGGTTTGTATTTAATAGGGATTACTCGGCGTCTGAATTGGACTGGAAATACAACTGGAATTTCTCGACTCTTTTCATAGACTTTTT